TTATTTTTGTAAAATGTATAAATGAATGGTGTGATTGCTTTTCGTATTTAAGCTCATGTTTATATGGTAATGACGTGAAGTGGTTTCTATGTTTAAAAAAGTTTATATTTGCATATAGTTTTAAGTTTATATAATCATCATAACTCTTTAGGTAAATTGTGTAATTTTCTCAAAATAGATTATTTATGTATAATATATAAAAAGTCATATGTTTCAAAATAACAGTAGTCGTATAAATACTAATTGTGAAACTCGTATAATATATGAGTTAATTTTAAAAAAAAAAGTTGAATATAAAGTCAAAATATTTGAGAACTTTGAATTTATAAGAAAAAAAATAATGAATTATTATCATGGAAATGTTTTTTTATCTTTTAAATTTAAATAAATAATTTAAATAAATAAAAGAAATTAATAAGCTTTAATTTCGAGAATTTTGAAATTAAAATGTATGTTCATTAATGAAATTGATATTCATTTATTACTACATTTATTTCAATTATTACATTAAAATATTATGTGGAATTTAATAAAATAGAAACTCATAAAATGACATGTAGAAAAAAATTAATTCAAAATAACTACAAAATGACGTTTGGCAATTGAATGTGAGTGTGACAAGTTAACTTAGGCCATTTCTGACAAGTTAACTTAGGCCATTTCTGTGTGTATTATGTTTGGTATATGTTCACAAGTTAACTTAGGCCATTTCTGACAGTATAATTTATTTATTTTTTTATTTTTTTATTAACAAAACAATATCATTGGTATGTATCACTTTGTTATTACTATTTCCCAGCATTCACTACTAGAAACTTCAGTTTCAGTGACTGATTTAGCAATGGATAAATTCTGTAGCAACGTTTTAGGCTTATAGCTAGGGATTTACAAAAGATCTACGATATTTTAAATATTTACCTTATTTATTCAACATATTTCATATTAGCCAGGATTTATCGAGGGATCGACTACAGATCTTGCAAGTGTTTATCGATGCACCCCAATCCCTTGGTAATCGGTCGAAAATGAAGGCATTTCAGCGAGGGTTCAGCGATAGAGAGAGAAATTGTCGATTTTTTCCATCTGGTACGCGTTTAGCATGAGATCGCCGACGAAAATTATATTTGGGGTACGCACGTTTTTGTTTTACAATCGCCGATCTCTGGCTGAAATTAGCGCAAACCATTTCCAGTTTCACGAAATTGCTATAAGTTTCCTTCCCTCCCAAATATGCTTTATCACTCTGGAGTAAGTTCCTACGCCATGTTAACCTAAGATCACCATCTCCATTCAAACAGATGACCAAACAACTCACCATTGTTGCTTTTTATTCCGGCAACCTCCATAAAATCTAAAATTAGTTTTCATTAACTTCCGATTCAGGTAAATCTCTTGATTTTCTTTTCTTTAGTTTTATATTAGGTCGGGTTTAGTTCAGTTGCACAATATATTACGTTAGGGTTTAATTTCCCCTTTTTTATGTTTCAATCATCATCCCTCTTATACCCCAGCATTACATACACGAATCACCTTGAATCGATTGCATCATGTAATTAAAACCTCTATTTGTGATTCATGAATCTAATTTTCTAACTTGACATTTTCCTTCATCTCTTGAATGTTTGTCTCCAATTCAACAGGTTCTGTAGTACAATGTAGCTTTGACTATGTTTGTCTGCAATTCAACAGGTTCTGTTGTAAAATGTAGCTTTG